CATTTTGACCGTGACTTTTATAAAAAATACTTAATATTTAATATAATTACAAAATTACTTATTAAAATCTAACTTCGTATAATTTAATTATATCATAATTTATAATATGTTAATAATGATAACAAATTTAAAAGACCTAAATTATTAAAAAATAATAAATATTATCTATTTTAATAATTATATATCTTACAATATTTTTTAAAATTTTAATTAGTAATTAATAAAATCTATCATATTTTATTCATAATAATTTTAAAAAATAAATAATCAAACACCAAAATAACTTTCAACCATAGTTACAATATAGCACAGTTCAGTACAACTATAGCCACAACCATAGTTACGGTTACAATACTTCACAGTAATTCTAAATGTACCACTAAATTCATCTTAATTACATATTATATAACTTGAATTCATAATCTTTTATTTTCATAAAAAAGAGATTTTCATTAAATTTTTTAAGTTGTTAACAAAGTTTAGAGTATTTTTTATAAATAATGATACAGATGCCGATTCCTATGAGACGAATTTAGGGAACCGCTTACGTGGTAAATTAAAGGCCATATCCGAACTTGGAGCATTTGAATGGAGACTTAAAATTCCCTCACACTTTAACTTGCTACGTAAGTGGTCTCCTAAATTTGTCCCATAAGAATCGGCATCTGTATCATTATTCATTTTTTATTTGAAGAAAACGAAAATGAAGGAATAAGAGGGAGAAATCCTTTAACCAATTAAAATATATTATTTATTAACGTGATAATTTAACTTATTTTTAAAAAAATCTCTCCCCTTCTCTTCCCCTCATTTCTCCCAAATCAATCATACTCCTAATGACTAATGAGATACCTAAGATGTGTCGGTACCACCAACTAATGGAAAGCTAATAGGATCAGTTTGGTTGGATGGAATAGGAATTTCATTGTCAAAGCATAATTATAAACTAAATTAGTTTGGCTGCCAAAAAAAAGGCTAAATTAGTTAGAAAATTTAAGAGATTGAGAATACTTATTATTTATGTACAATAATTTATATTAGCATGTGACAGTTCTTAGGGAATAGCTAATGTTATTAGATATTCTCATCTTATTTCATATTCTTAGAATAAATTGATAAAAGGAATATGATTCCTTCCTAACTCCTACCCTCTCTCATTGGTTTACCTTATAAATTTACTTTGACCATGTAATGCATATTCCATCAACCAAACTCACCTTAAAAATCTATAGATACTCAACATGATAACTTAGCATGACATCTCAGTACGGTTTTCACACATCAATATAATACCTCAATATAAAATGCAAAGCGTTTTAGGCTGTGTTTGGTTATAATTTACAAGGTTCCTTGGAAAAAGAATTCAAGGAAGCCACATTTTTGAAGCCATGGGTTGGTCCAAAAGAAAACATTCTGGTTAAAAACAACATAGCTAATTATGATTGAGCACGGTTGATTATATATGCCAGAAAGTGTTTCTCAAAAAAAAAAAAAAAACTTTAAGAAAAGGTTTAAGATTAAGTAGTCAATTATTATATTGAATCATTATCAATAAAAACCTACAATAACCAATTATATTTTCAATATAGTTGGTTATATTATCTACATTGGTTTTTGTGCCAAAATCTAAAAATCTTAGGTGAAGTTGATTGATTTATTGGTGTGGTTTTTTTGGATTTTTTTAAAAGAATCTCACTTCAGTATAAGATGTTAACTATTAATTTGTTGAAAATTTTGTAAAGTGGATAAAGATAACACATCATATGTAAAAATCAAGAAATCCTAAACCAAGTTAATTGATTTGTTGGCATGATTTTTCCTAAATTTTTCTTTGAAACACAACATCAACTGAAGATATCAACTTTCAATTAATTAAAAAATTTATAAGACAGAATAAAGATATCATCATATATCTAAAAATCAAAAAATTCTAGACAAATTTATAAGACAGATAAAGATATCATTACATATCTAGAAATCAAGAAATTCTAGACAAATTCAATTGACTCGTTGGTGTGGCTTCGCTAACTATATAGATTCTTTTTTCAAAACACCACTCCGACATAAGGCATCAACTTTCAATTGATTGAGAAACTTAAGAGGTGGAGAAAGATACCACAACACACGTATCAGAGGGATCTTGAAGAATTTTCACTAATTTTTTTCTCAAAAAAACAAATTTTTACCCATAGATATCAATTTTGAGTTGATCTTAGAATGTGAGCACGTTTAAGTTGGACGGAAGGGAGTAATAGAGGACAGCTCATAAGTTTATGCAGTCTCAATATGACAGGTTAACACAGCTTTCCCACATTAGCAACATATCTTAATATAAAAAAAGGCAGAATTTTCCTGGTCAAGAATGAAGAGTAGTGACTAATTTTTTCCTAAAAATGGGAAAAAAAAATTGATTCTTACCACAGACATCAATTTTGAGAGTTGATCTTTAGGAGAAGAGCAGCTGGATGGAGCAGTACCACCTCAGGTAGAAAATATGAAAGCTAAGTCCCATAACAAATAAGCACCACACACTCATTTATCTGCAGAAGCAACTGCACCTCTTCCCTTGTTTTTTCATTATCAGCATCATCATCATCATCAAAGGGAGAGGTGCAGGTGCAAATGCAGATAAATGAAGACTCATATTGCTAATGAGGAAAGTGATCAAAATGATCTCACAACCAGCTTAGATATTTATACTCCGTGGGGTGGGGGTGTGGGGTGGGGAGGAGGGAGGGTAGCTGAAGGAAGGGGGTGGTAACCCCCAAGTTTGAAAAGGTTGCTCAAATGGTGGATATTCTGCCCAAGATTTGCCCTAATCTTTCATGCTTGGCCACCAGAGCAGAGACCATGTGAAGCACGTGGGAATAGAGTGTGTAAGCCAATAGGAGAATGCCAAGTAAGGATTATGCAGCTGATATGGCTGTGGGACGCTCGTGGCTTCCCATTTTCTTCAACAAGATCAGGTGGAAGCTGTGTTAATGACAGGCCCATGAGAGCTCATGGAATGGCAAACATTTTGTTTACACACGTAGGATTTAGACCTACCAAAGCCCACTGAAAACCCCTTTTCATTTTTGACAATCAAGGCTTCTTCTTGGATTCTAGAGCTGAATGGTTGGTGGAATTAACAGTAAAACACCTGTTACTTTGGCAAACGACTAGCAACTACATAAGTAATTCAACGATAATTGTTTTGATAGATGTAAAAAATTCTGAAAATTTAAGTTTTATGGCATGCAAAAGTAAGTTAGGAAGCTAGGAGACGAGAAGGGATGGTCTGTATAATTCCACAATCTAAAAAGAAATATACAGTGAATGCCTAATTCTTGATTTAATCTCATCGTTGTTCGTGTGCAGAAGAACTAAAGCTGGACAATCTCTACAGACCCACACAAACTAGCAAAATAGGATTAAAACAAATTACAATCGCAAATGGAGATGTAAGACTGGAGACTTGCCAGAATCAATACTCCTGGGGAAGTGGTCAAGAAGCAAAAAAACGAATTCCAAGCTAATCTTGGAGACTGTAAAATGTGGGGGAAAACGTAATGGGGTGAGGATCATCCTACAGCTACAGGGCCTGGACCACTTCTGGCAAATTACTTTACATAATGTACAGATAAAGAAAACATTGCCGGGGGTTCTCAGCACGGAACACGGTTATTAATGCTCGTGTTTGACACGTGCCTTTAGTATTCCAGGAAGCGGTGGTGAGGTAGGAGCCATACTACTTGGTGTATTTGACATCAGGGGAGGGTGCATCTGCTGTTGGTACATGCTTGATCCTTCACCATCTGCAGAAAAATTAGGTGCCATTTCATTGCCCTGGGCTCTCTGACTAAAATTCATTGCCTTCAATACATAATTGTCGTCATGGAGCTCGAAGGGGGTGCTGTAAGATAGAATAACCAAGATTTAAAATGTTTGAAATGGCCAAAAACATGAATCAAGTGACTAGTTCCATTGCAATAAATAGGGACTGAAACCTTTAAAAACCCCATTCCCTAGTCCCCCTCCCATCTCTTGTTTAGCATCTTCAAGTCACAAAAGGACACAACAATGTGTTTGACAGGTGGGGAGCAATGACAAACATCCACAGAATACTATTACGTGGAGACTGGGTTGTGGAGAAGAGCTTACATCTCTTACCTGTTAAAGTCAAAGTGCACCAGCTGCATGTCTTCTGATATTTCCACCTCAACCGTTGCATGAGGGCGTGTCTATAGATCAAGATGATAAGAGTAAAAATAAGAGGCATCACAATAAATGCAACTTCAACTTCAAGGGAAAGTTTCTCATGCATTTAGAAAACTTTCTCATTCACTACAATAGGGGCAAAAAAAGACTGTCTCATGAAACTCATTTCTACCCTAAATATCTAAATGCAATCCTCTTCTACCATAAATTGGGTCCATTTAACCTTTTCTTCACATTTTTGTTTTAATGTAAAAAAAAGATGACAGAACTATTATTAATTGAAACATAAATTGAGAAATGCAACATAAGAAAGATACAACTGACAACGCCATTGTTGTCTCTGCAGATGCACTGCTGGAAATTAAGTAGAAACCACAATCGAAATACTAAACATATAAATTGCACTGCACTTGGGACATAGAAATTAAACCAACAAAACACCCCAACTTAATTAATCTAGCTATGAATCTAGACATACATGCTAGTAGTACATATGGTACTTCAAGGGCCTGGCAAAACAATGTAGTGAATAAGATATAGAACTTAACATTTTCTTCACATTTGACAGCATAAAAACATTGTCTATTTGGAACTTAACATTAGTTGAAGATATGGCCATAGGGATGCAAGAACAATGATTTGAAGGGATCAGCTGGCTAAAGATTCATAAGTAACAATTAATGAAATGAAGGTTTAGAAAAGTAAACCTTAAAAGAAGTGAAAGGTCAAACTAAATTGAAATTTTAGCTTCAAAAAGAAAGTATCTCCAGGCACTTCACTCCTGATGGAGAGCATTCTTATGTTGATTACTGAATAAAAAGGCCAAACGTCCATTTACAAGCCAAGTACTAAAGGTGAAAATTTTTTCTTCACTTTCTTCTTCAAAATATGTCCCTTTCAGATTTTATAAGTCAAATACAAACTGGATCTTAACTCAAGCATTGGAGACCAACCAAATCCTACTAATAGTAATATAGCATATTGGTATGAAGTCCAAAAACTCAAGTAGATTTGTGGCAAAACTTCAGTTAGTAGCATTATCTAGTTTCTTGTAAGAATGCAAGATCTCAATGGAAAATTGAGAAAATACATACCTGCACCAGAATAAAAGGTAAAGCCACGCCACCACTAGGAGCATTTCCAGAGCTGTACAACTGCTCATTTCGTTGTATCAAATTCTGGAGACCTATAAACTAGGTGAAACAACAAAATAACTCAGTGAACTATGAACAGATGATGATAACAAACCACATGGCGTGAAATGGATGATTACAATTCAGTCCCTAATGGTGATAAAAAAAAAAAAATCCGGTCTCTCTCACAACTTCATTCCAAAAGCATTAAATATAAACATACTTCATACCTGTTCCTCCAGCTCTTGCAAATAGGCAGCCTTCTTTTCAATCCTATTTCTCAGTCCAAGACGTTCAGCCTACATCATTTACAGTTAAACAAGTTGAATAAATTCCCATTAGACATTTAAGTTAAGAGTCATAAAAGATACAAAACATGCAGGTCATGAAAATACAAATGGAACCCTCACCTTTAATTCTTCAATATCACTGAGGCTGGTACGAGGAAGACCCTTCCACTGTATTTCTTTTTTATCCTTGGATATAATATCCATTGCCATGAGTACATTCAGGGCATCATAAACCCTTCTCCTTATATTTTTCTCATCATATTGTTGCTGTTAATCAAATTTTAAGAAGAGGATGGTAATTTCAAATTTCAAACTCGCGTTTTAGGTCAAAGAAGCAACGGGTAAGAAACATTTAAAACATAATGGTTAAAGAAAGGCAAACCTGATCTGGCGATGCAACACTAGTGCTGGGATCAGCAAATTCAGCTACAAGTTCATCTGCTACCTGAAAATTACTTTTAACTTCAGACAAGAATCTAGGCTATTGCAGCAAAAGCAAAAAACAACTGATGGGAGTTCATTTTATCAGACAAAGAGACAAGTTTAGATGCAATTAATATTCAAAAACAGTCACAAGCACTAGCACATTACAATTATCCTTGGTAAGATCAATGATGAGCAAAATATAAATGAAAAATCCAGTAACAATAGTTTCAAGATTTAACACAGGGATTAAGAGGAAGAATGATTAGTAACCACATTACAATTGCAAAAACTAAAGGGCCTGGTAAACAACTTCTAACATGAATGGATTCAAAACTTGAATAGCAGCACACCATCAACCCTCCAATCAACAAACCAAGAATATGCTATGAAATTAAAATATCTCTTATTTTAAGGTAGAATCTCTCTAAAAAGGTCCTCCACAATAAATTCAGGGACATTATGACATAACAGATAGATCATCTATACATTATATAGGTATAGAGTTATATATGGTACTATAAACTGTTTATTTAAAATAAATAAATAAATAAAAAAGAAGGACAAGAATGTGACAATGACTTCAGGAAACCATCTGACCTCATTGTATGTGGTTCTTCCCTTGCTTTCCACTTTCTCACACACTAGACAAACAAAGACAGTTCAAACAAGATCAATATGGGGAAAGGAAAACCACAAAAACACAATAAAATGATGCATGAGTATGACAATCATTGAAAATAATAAAAATGCATTACTGAATTTCTTAAGATTTGGTCTGGTCAATGCAACATGTTCACAAACCAAAACTCAAAATTGGTTGGGAAAACTTGTTCACAGCAGAGGCAAGAACAACAAAGGGATAAATGGGAATAGTCTTGAAACCTTTCATGCTAAATTGGCGCAGTCCTCTGCCACTCTTATCACCTCCAACTGCACGCTGGCCTCTCTTCTTCTTTTTGTTCCTGCAAATATGGCGATCAACTAAATGCATTAAGGAAAATAAAACTAAAGCTTTTGAACCAAAAAAAGCAGTTCCATGCTAGAGCTTTAGAACAACATAGTGTGACAACCTCTAAGAATCCACAAAATTATTATTGGAAAAGAATCATAATTATATAAGAATTAGAAACTGTAAGGACAGCATAAAGCATCAGCACTCAAAGAGCAGCAGATTTTAGCATGAGAAATATCAAATAATTACCTATTTAAACAATTTGGGCAACCGTTCAAAGTTCAATTATAAGGCAAGACTCCTGTATTTGCCATAACAGTGTAAGACTGGCAGATCAAACCACACTCAAAACAAGAACAAACTGAAATTACCCTAATAATAGCCCAATTCAAGCAATTTCCTTCGTTCAACACCAAACCCACAAGCCAAAACCCCGCATAAAATGACAATCAAATCCAGCATTATGCACAAAAGGGAGAGCAAAAAGAAGAACTCACCCAACGGCGGCTTGAGATCCGGCATCGGCGTCAGCATCGTCCCCGTGAATATCGAGATGGTTCAATCGAAGAAAAGCCGTCTCGCTCGCCGGCGTGGCCATGGCCTGCTCGCTGCGGCTGGAGGGAGAGCCGACACTGCCGCTGGTGGAGACAGATTGACCCGAAACGGTGGTGCCCCACGACCTCGAAGCTCCTCCTTTAGACATGGCTGCTGGGTTCTTATCCCCATCTTCTTGGCGGTTATGGTTATGGTTAGCCCCAGATACCATACCTAACACACACAAAACAAAAAACCCAGAAAAATTAAGACCCAAAAATTGAAAATTTGGGGTTCTGAGGGATACCCAAATGGGAACTGACCTTAGTAGGATGTGGGCACTGGACATGAAGAGATGTTGAAGAGCATATCAGTGAGAGAGTCTTCTGCGTGTGTTGGTAGCTTGTGCAGAACACTGCAGTGGCAAAGTGTTAAGGAGAATGGATTGGTTTTTAAGACGTGGAGAAAACTGGGGTATTATTTGAGCGAAGGTAGGAAACAAAAGAGGCGGAAAGAGAGGAAAGAGGGAAATTTTTGTGAGGGTTTGTTTTTTAGTGGGATTTGTGGGAGTTAAGCTTTAGCTCCAAATTCAGGGAAAGGAGAAAAGTACAATAAATTTTTGATAAAATCCAGTTTTTTTTTAGAGAGTAACAATTAATTGCATGATCATATATGTTAGTGGTAGATGTAAATTTATAAGTTAGATATTTTGTAGTTAGAGTGATACTGAATTATAAAATATAAAAATAATAATTATTAGCTGAGTTTTTTTAATTTAATATTAAAAAAATTATAATTTCAATTATTTTTAATTATAAAACATTAATTATTGTATAAAAAAACATACCAAGAACCTTCTCGTAATCAAATAATTTTTATTTTATAGTTTAAAATAATTTAATTATAAAAAATTAAAAGATTTTTTTTTTTGTAATT